TACAAAGCATATTCCATGGCAGAGGTAATTTTGGATATTAGTATCACCCTTAAGTTCTCCACTTAATTCAATAGTTGGCCCCTGCAGAAACCAAGTGGACCCCGGAGGATGACGGTAAATGATCGCACACTCAACCAAACAGTAGCCCCAATTCCAGACATGTGACTGTTTATCTGCTATGAGCAGATTGACATGGCCCCAGTCATGAGCAGTGTTTGTCTCAGACACTTCCAACTCAGTCCCCATAACAAGCAAACTGAGATGCAAAGTGGGAAGATGTTTGCCCAGGCCCACTGCGGCTCACCCACCATTCCATTCTCTAGGGCCTTTCCATTTAGAAGCCTTGACTTGGTGAAGGCATTCTTTGTTATTCCTTTCAGAGAAGAGTATGAGGGACCATTTGCATCCATAAGGTTGAATAACAATGTATATTTGCAGTTCTGTTTCAGGTTTATGCTGCCTTACCTGTCTTCTGTCCTGATAGAGTCTAAAGGAATCAGGATCATCTAGGCATCCCGAATAATGGCACATTGATCCATTATTTGATGATATTATGATGATCAGGTCACATGAACAAGAAGTGGCTAGCATATTAGAGACCTCACTAAGACACATGTGATTCAGAGGGCAGAAGGCAAACCTATGAAGATTCAGGGGCCTGTCACATTGGTTATATTTTCAGAGGTCCAATGATCAAGGGCCTGCCAAGAAATCTCATCCAAAGTAGAAGATATTATATCTTGCACCTCCTACCACAATGAAGGAAGCAACACCTGATAGACCTCTTTGGTTCTAGAGGCAGCATATTCCACAGCTGGAAATATTACTCTGGCCTATACACCTGTGGCATGAAAATCTTCTACCTTTGAGCAGGGCCCTGGCAAAGGTTCTGCGATGGGGTCCGGGTTGAACTGTAAGAAGTCGCACCACTTAGTATTACAGGTCTACAGGATGGGAAATGATGTTGTGCAGAACTCATGGCAAATCCCAGAGGGAGGATCATGACCTAGTCACATGGTCATCTGTGGTTCTTTTGCAAGGCCATGCCATCTTCAGAGGAGGAGCACATGCCTTTTGAAAAACAACTACTGGTATGACACTAGCCCCTGGTAGAGACACTATACCTGAACACAGGACACCAAATGAGTATGCATCTAGAACTGCTTGTCATGAACTGAGAGCCATTACACCCATCAATTAATAAGGGCAGACAGGCCCAGCAGCAATTCATCATAGTTCATAAGTGGTGCAGCTGGGACCAAGCACAAGGGCCTGAGGGCAGAAGCAAGCTGCATGAGCGGGTAGCTCAGACCCTAATGACGACTACTACTGTTGCACTAGTGCCCCTCCCTTGGCTCATAAGCTGCCACATAGGAGCCTATTTATAGTCAAATGGTAGAGGAAGAAAAAGCCCAAGCTTGGTTAGAGATGAGCTAGTTTTGTAAATAGGTTCAAGTTGAAAGTGGATAATAGGTGTACTACAAGGAGTGGCCTGGAAACACAGGGGCTAGACAAAGTCCTTTCAATGGGCAGAGCTTGGACAGTGCACCCAGTCATCTATTTTGTGTGAAAGGAAAAATGACCTGATGCTAGAATACATACAGAGGCCTGGATGGAGAAAGACTTAAAGAAGGAGGTAGAGGCACATGGATGGACAAGGGAGTGGGCATGAAGTGTGAAGTTCTTTGTATCATATGCTAATGCCCACCAGAGAGAATCTACCATTAGAAGAGGCGCAAACTGCTCAGCCATCTGACATCAGCCAGCTGCAGTCACTAGCCACTGTGGTGCTGACACAGTGGGCACCATCAGAAGATGCAGACAATGCCTGGACTGGATAGACCGCATAGGCTCCCACTAATCAAGTCTGAGGTAGCTGCAGTTGCTATCAAACGTCCAAGCTGCCAGCAGCAGAGAGGAACACCAAGCCCCCCATTCCTCAAGACCAACAGCCTCCTTAATGGCAAGCTAGCTTTTTGGGAATGCTTCCATTCTGCAAGGGCCAGTGTTTTATTATCCCAGGATAGTACCTATTCCAAATAGTAACTTAACCAAATAATCCCAACCAGTAAGAACATATTCATTTCAATACCCAGGCACAAGTCCCTCTAGAAAGATTATGCTCAGAGTTGTTGATTTCCTACAGCAACTCATACCCACATCCTGACGTGAGCTACTACTAAGGTCTTAGACTTCTCTACTCCCATCAGTGAAATGATCTCCTGGGATTCTTTACCCTGTGCTTTCACTAGCAATCTGTACATGAATTTAAACCATCTTAACACTCAACTAACTGTGTTTAGAATACCTTCTGTGTCCAGGGGCTGAATATTGCTGGATTGTAAGTTTTGCTATCAGGTAAATGGTGGCTGAGGTTGTAAAAGCTTGCTAAATGCCATTACCAAGTGATTACTTGTGCCATACAAATACTTTACCTGTTGTCATTTGGAGGAGTGACAAGTCTCATAGTTCACCTTACTTTGTGAATTTCCGAGTGATCAAGAACTTGTAGTAAAGCAGGTGTTTGGAAACAGTGTTTTCTTCAATACTTAGTATTCTATCTGAACTAAGAGGGATAATGTGCCTTTCCAGCAGGTAATGAGCAAAAAGGCTTACAAAGTAGGGCAGTGAGCCAAAACTGCAATAATGTATAAGGAAGAGGATAAACCTTGACTACCAAGGAAGGGGAAAAGATTGGGCAGACCCTATGGGACCATAAAGCACCTTTGCCACTGCTCTTCCTTATACATTAGAACACATGTTTTGGAGAGGGAGGAGTTGGTATGGATTGTTTTATAGCACTAGTACCGTTCCCTGTTTTGATTAGTTTTCTGTTTGCTGATTTTTTTACTACTCTCATGTGTGTTCAGCAAATAAAGTCCTTTGCTAAAACTGGGATTGAAGGATTTTAGGTGGGGATGGGGTGGGGCAGGGAGTGGATAAAGCTCTTCCCCAGAATTGACGTTTGGTCAAAGTATTATTTAGCCTGATTCTGGTGTCTGGGACCTGAAATCAGAAGGCTAGTGTCATAAGTCTATATGAATTTTCCTGTGGCTTTGTACTGGGCAAGACAATTCAGTTTTTGTGTGGAGTTTTCATGACTCTGGTTAGGTACTCTGAAAACTGGCCCAATGCATTACAACTAATTGTTCTTTGTTATAATTCATGTCTTTCATAATCAAAAGTCTTCTAAGTGTTCAAAAGTAGATAAAATAGAAAAAAACCCTTAAAGATGCAAATCACTGGATTTATAACATGAAAATTTGACAAATATTTAATTAAAAATACAAATTTAATTCAGAAACATCCTTAGACAAGTTGGTTTATTTTTAGTCTTTCAAATGTCAAAATGATGAACAGAAAAGAAGGAGGGAAGAAAGGAAAGAAAGAATTCCTGAATAGATGAAAATCTTCAAAGGGTTGTTTTTTTTTTCTCATTTGATTATTATACAACACCTGCTCCCTGTTGCTGCAAACTAAGCTAATAATGTTATCAGGTAATGCTTACTGAGAATTAACTGCATGCTAGGCACTTTGAGTTACACAAATTATGGCATTTAATCTACATCATAATTTTATGAGGCAGGTATTAATATCTCCAGATTAGGAAAACAAAGTTTAAAGAGAAAAAGTAACCTGACCCGTATCAGTTTCCTAGTAAAAAGTAGAGCTGGGATTTTAACTTAGAGGAGCAGGGAGCTTGACTTTAGAGTCTATGTGATCAAACAGGACACTACACTGCTCCCTAAGGAGCAGTTGCCAGGTATTATCTACCTCTATACCACCTGCATGAGGATCACTCATTTCTGGGGATGAGCCTCTGCAGGCAGGGTCACCATGTACAGTTCTTCAGGTTGTACACTCCCAAGAATGCCACATCTAAGGAAATGTCATTCATGTTGTAAATGTATTTTAACTAATACCAGAGGTTATGGGTGGAGGTAAAGATCCGAAGCTCTAGAACTGAAGCAGCTGACAAAGTCCTGCAATGGTAGCACACACAACTATGCATTCAGTTGCCAGCATGCATATATGCACCAGACTGCCCAGTCCCAGCCAGACTCCAAACATCCCATGGAGTCATTTCTCTTCCTCTTCTATTGCTTTCAGTAACTCAATTCCTGCCCCCAACCTACTTTCAAACCCGGAAGGGGGAATGTGTGGAGAATACATGCTGCCATCTCTAGATGTGCCACAATACATTCTTATGGAAGAGGTGCACTTTCTAATTGGCCCAAGGGTGCCAAATTATCTATTAGGAATCCTGGTGTGGGTCCTTAATTATAGCCTGCAATATCCCCATTCCCTTAAGCCCCTTAGTTGTTGAGTGCTTGGACTGAGCTAGTAATTTTTATGCCAGTTTAAGACCAAGAGAAAAAGGAAGATCATATCTTTTACAAGGAAATTTTAAAAACTCCACCCATGAACTATTTTTCAAAGAGAAATATTAGGGTATTTTTCAAGTGTGTCATCTATTGGGATAAGCAAAGAACATGAATTTGTAACCACCAGACCATACAGTTGAACTGAAATCAGTGACCCAAACTGCCCAAATGCTTCTCCATGGAAGTTGGAGAGTCATCTGGAGGGCACCAGCTGCCAGCCATACAGCAGGGGAATTCCTTTCCTGAATTCTGAAGTTTCCCTTCTCTTCTGCCCAGGTTGTTGCATCACTTGTCTGGAAGATGCCTCAATGGACTGGCTAAACTGGGACATCCTAAAAAGGAGTTGGTATGGGCTCTGGATTGGAGGGAACCTGAGAAAAGGGAGGTTATGGATAAGTGTATTTTTCTTGAAACTATCATCACCGCTCCTGGGAAAGTTCTGCCGAAATAAGTGACAGAATGAACAACAAGAAACTAGAAGTGGCTTCCTCTTATAAATAATACTACCCAGAGAGAAGTGGCTTGAGGTAAGTGGCAGAGTTACCTTGCACCCTAACCTTCTCATGCCAGCCCCAGCTGCTTTCCAATGAAGCACATTGCCTTCTTGGTTTCCAGGTTTAAAGACGAGCATCTTGAAGACATCCAAACACCTGCCTCTCCTAGGAATAAAAAGAAAAGTCCAAGTGGATCTTATTTCTGGACCAAGATGGCTAGAGGAGATTCAATGAGCAGAGGACAAAAGGTGAGCTGAGGTTTTCTCCTGGAGGTTGGGGTCTTGCCTCTGAATGAGAGTGGGGAGTTGTAGCAGCTGCTGTCAAACATGCCCCCCAGTGCCCTTCCCAGAGAAGGTGGGAGCCTTCCCAGGAGGCCAGGTGAGGATTCTGGAGTCTGGGCCATGGGGGCTGCCTCTTAGCTCCCTGCTGTTCTGCTCATAACCACCAGAGTGCACAATTTCTTAGAAGCCCTGGGTAATTTAGAACCAACAAATGTTAGAAAGAGAAGCATGGGCACCTTTTACAGTGGAGAGGAAATGAGCCTTGGTCACGTTATCATGCCAGCCTCAGGTGAAGCAGACCCTCTTGAGTCCTGGTTCTGTGTTCATCCCTCTATAGCACACAGACTCTTTCCCTTCTTATCTGCAGTCCCAGAGATGTGGGGAGTGGATCGGAGAGAACTGAGGCTCTGAGGGGTAGTGGGGATCTGGAAAGCCACACACCAGCCCATGCTGAAGAGGAGGTGGATGTCCTGCACAGTAGGACCAGAGAGACAAAAATGTTTCTTCACGTGGCCTCATCCCCTAAAGTGCAAAGCACTGTAACAGAGGCCTGTGGTCCCATGCTACTGAATTTGGGTTCCCTGGCTCCTGGAAAAAGTATTTCTGAAGGTCATTGGCAGGAAGGGTGACTTGGAGACATTCCATTGAATATTATCCTTCCAGCTTCCAATCAAGACTGATAACCCTCTGGAGACATTTAATCTCATACTCTGTGCTTCCTCATTGCCCTGTGGAGGTGGCTTTTTTCTCCTGAAGCCCAGAGATTGCTGCACCAGCAGCCAGAGGAACTGAGTGTTGTGGTGCAGAGACTTTGGCCCCAACACGTGTTGTATCAGCACTTAGTGCTTTAGAAAAATTAGTCTGGGGGAATTCTGGGTGTCAGCCCCCAAATTAGCTGGGATGTGGAGAATATTAATCAAATTATGAATTAGAGCAGGTACATCCTCGTAGAGTCTCCAGGTGAGGGCAGGAAGCCAGTAGATCTGTGAGGCAGGGGAAGGTCAGAGTGCCCAGGATAAAGGGAAGGTACAGGAGGAGGTGTCGGGAGTCCATGGACTTTTCCAGGTCTGACCACTCCCAGGGCTCTAACTGGGGAGAGCAGGCAAAGGCTGAGTGGAGAAGGCTGAGCAGAGCCAAACTGGGGGGACAACTTGCAGCAACAGGCCACCCCACAGATTCTTTTCTCTCCTTCTCTCTCTTCTCTTCTTCTTTCTTTCTCCTTCTACCCTTTCTTTCCTCTCCTCTTTCTCCTTCTGCCTTCTTTTTCCTCCCATTCTCATTTCTCTCCTTGTGACCCCCTCCTGCACAGCCTGTATCTGAGACGGGCCAGTGGCCTTGAATGGCTTACTCTGGTAGGGGAGCAAGGGGGTTCCTGGCCCATGGACCACTGACTACAAGTGTCTTTTCTTAACATGAGCAAAGTAGGTATTAGCGTAGGAAGGAAACACAATGGCTAACTTTTGTTGGCTTTTTATTTTTCATCTATATGTCCCAGGAGCTGCAGGCAGTACATAGATTTAAAGAGCAGATTTTTAATCAATATAAAGCATCTATAAATACCCTATGGGGAATACAAAAGAAGTATAAGGCTCGGTCTCTGTCTTAATCATCAGCAAGCAGTGAAAGACCACTGAGTAGTGACCAGTATAGTGTCCGTGAGAGGAGACATCCATAGTGTGCTGGATCTGGTTTTAGAACCTGAAGGCAGAGGGCTGAGACACAAAGCCCTGCCTTCAAGGAGCTACCCAGGCTAGCAGGAGAGACCAAAGCAGGGGAGCATGGATGGTGGGAACAAGCAGGGCTTTCTGGAAGGTTTGGAGAAGAAACAGAATAGGACCCTAATGCAGATAACTACTTGGCCTGAGGTTTAATTTTTAACTCCTTGTTGCTGACCGGAGACACACTGACAATGAAGAAATAAGCTTTTTCATTGAAGAAATCAATACCCCTTTCACAAAGAGGAAAGGGAAAGAAGAGAAGGTAGGGGAACTACTTTATACTACCAGACTTACCGCTGGGCATGTTACAACGACCTCACTTCAGTTGCACAACAATCCCATGCAGAGTCCCTCATTCCCCTGGATAGGAAGCAACTCCCCGAGAGTAACTTTCCAAGGTCCCACAAAACCAACTAAGGTTTAGACCTCAAATAGGTGGTCTTTCCACCACACGTTACTCCCCACAAATTCTGAGCCCCAGGTGGGCAAGTGGGTGCCTCAAATAGGTGGTCTTTCCACCACATGGTACTCCCCACAAATTCTGAGCCCCAGGTGGGCAAGTGGGTGCCAGGGCTAGAATCCTACAGAGGGAGTTTTGCTTCTCTGAACACAGGAATCTCAAGGGTAAGGGAAATTTTAACCTTGCTGGTGGTGACTCAGGCCAAATATGCATGCCAAAGAGTGTGAGGATAGAGTCATGTTTGTTCGGGGAGGGCAGCACTTGTCTTGCTCTCAGACATGCCTAAGCCCTCTCGTCAAGCAAGCTGAGATGCAAAGTGGGAAGATGCTCACCTAGGCCTACTGCCACTCACCCAGCTTCTCTTGGACCTCCTTTCTTTTCTTTCCTTCTCTTTATTTTATTATTGAGTGTTGGGAGCCAGCCTTGGAGGCCCGCCTGATTGACAAAGTCCAGGTGCGCTGAGGATCCCCGGCTGCAAAGCGAGTCCAGGCAGCTGAGGCCCTTCTATCTTTCATCTTTGCTGTTGGTACGGCTGAAGAAATTCTGTGTAGTCATGGAAGAAGAAAATGGCATGTTTATGCGAAGTACTCACAGCTAACCTGAGAATGTCATGGTTTATTTTTCCATTGTCCCACTATGCCGCTTGACCTTTTCTAACATATGCAAGGGTTAAACTCTGAAGCACATCAAGAATGCTTTCTTTCACTTGATTGTAAGTTACTAGATATTGCTTGAGTAAAAAAATGATATAAGTATATTCACTCCTTATTTGATTTAGGATTATGCAGTTTAGTGTTTAGACATAAGGTTTTTTAGAAACACAAGTTTATAGTAAGTTCATTATGAATTCATTATAAGTCCTAACACTTATCCAGGAGTTATGTAGGTGATTTATAACACTGTTTTCACTGACTTAGGATAAAGATTATCATTAAAGTTTTTACTTAATTCAGTAGTTAAAACTCTAAGTTAACATTTATAAAGTGGGTTTTCACTGAACTCATAATATACTAATCAGACACTTTTATGATAGATTAGCTAAAGACAGAAAGCAACCTTGGGGACCTGGGAAACATTACTAAAAGCTTCTTTCGAGTTCTCTTTAGAAACAAGCACTACAGGATAAGAGAATTGTAACAAAGACATCTGGGCAAGAAAGGTGATTACAAGGCCCTGAAGGTCATAGAAGTCCCAGATGGGAAAACTCCTGACACATGAAGAAATGTACACTTAGAAACTTTCTTGAGACATTTCAAGGACTGTAATTCGGGACTTTGGACTAAAAGTATCATTTTTGGCTTTATGAATAAGACTCGTTGTCTGAATGTTTATAGGGATCTTGGTTTGTTTGTTACTAAGACCACTAGATGGTAACTTTTAGAGGATATGTACGTGAAGGAATTTTCTTTGTCTTGCCCCTTTACAAATGGTATAAAAGCCTTCCCTTAACTAATATTAAATGTCATCTGTTCAGGAAGCAGGTATCCGAGTATAATATTTTCAACTTTCGCCTATCCGTCTCTCCTGCAGGAAAGCCCATGACACTTGTGGGACTGGACCCCCACATTTGAGGTGTGGAGTACAAATCAGAATTAGGTACACAAGTAGTCTATGAATACATGTAGGTGAAGTTTGGGCCTCCAACTAGTCCTCACTTTCCCTGGTTTAGGATCAGGTACCCTTTGTGAAGTCATGTGCTCTCTCTCCTCCCTCCCTCCCCTAGCAGTGTCCCACAGTTGCCACTTCCTCCCTTGTAGCATGTTGATAAATGTTCAGAACTCACTTATGAGTGAGAATATGTGTTATTCCATTTTTTGCTTCTGTGATTGATCACTAAGTATGATGGATTCTAAATCCATATAGTGTGCTGCAAAGTTCATAATTTTGTCATTTTTTATGGTTGCATAATACTCCATCATGTATATATATCACATTTTCTTTATCCAGATCACTTTTGATGGGCAGCAGGATTGATTCCATGTTTTTAATATTGTGAGTAGTGGGCAATAAACATGCATGTGCAGGTATCTTTTTTATAGAACAATTTAAGTTCTTCTGGGCATATTCCCGGAAGGGGGATTGCTGGGTCATATGGAAGGTCAATTTCTAGTTGTTTTTTTTTTAAATCACCACATTATTTTTCATAGAAGTTGGACTAATTTGCCTTCCCACCAACAGTGTAGAAATATTCCCTATATAGAAAAAAAATTCAAAAAAGCCCTTTTTTCATTTATAGTTTTTTTTTTCAGGTTGGCAACCAGAGGCCAGGATGGAAAATGACCTTCTTCCTCACACTATGCCTGCTGCAAGGTAAGCTCCAAACTCAACCCAGATTCAGGCTTGTACAACCAGACCCAAGTCTTCTAGGCTGCAGTGGGCTCTGCAGTGGCATTGAGTGCAGCTGGGCATGCACATGGTTTTCTCTCCTGGTATCTGAGGCCATGCAGTGGATCCAGGGAGCAGTTGGATCTGGGCCCAGGGGAATGATGGTGATGAGAGTTCACATAAGAGGGCATGATTTCTTGATGATCTCTAGACTCTTTTCTGTTTTGCTATTTCCCATGTTTTTGCTATCTTCCATTTAAGTTGATGACCAAAAACCACCTGCACCTTCAAGATCAAGGTTCCAGAGTGTGCAAGAGACAGAAGTAGCAGTGATTCCTTACTACTCATTCTACAGACACTTAGGTGCCAGACCCAGCACTGGGGATGTAAAGATAAAGACCCTTGCCCCCAAAGGAAAACCCAGGCAGGCCTATCTTATCATGTATAAGTAATAAGAGTTTAGTGTCTACGAGGAAACTATAAGGGAAAATAATAATTATATTCACTAATTTACTTATGCAGTCAACACAAATTTATGAAGGCTTTACTATGTGCCAGGCAATGGGGACAGGTAAATGAAAGGCAGGATTCTGCCCCTAAAGGTCCTTGCAAGCTGGTATGGTGAAACTGGCCAGGTATAGACCAGGCTCAAATGACAAATGGCTCTTTCTCCATGCTGTGGTAGCTGGATTTTATTCTAATGGTAATGGGGAGCCATTGAAGAATATAAGGAGAATAGGCCTAGAGTACCCAGCACCTAGAACCTTGTCCCAAGTAGATGTTTCACAAATAATTCTTGAATGAATTAATGAATTAGTGAAAATGCTAAGGTTAATCCAAAAAAGGATGAACTGTTTCTGGCTTATAAACAAATTAGTTGGCTTTTTTTTTTTTACACCTTTTAAAAATGGAGGTAAAATAGACATAAAATTGATCTTTACTATTTTTAAGTGTACTGTTTTTAAGTGGTAACAAATACATTTATATTCTTCTTTCCTTTTCCCTCAAAATCAGAGTCTCTAGAATCCAAGCTGGCCAACATTTGAGTAAGCACCCTCTGTGTGATATAATCACACCACTTCTTTACTTCAGTTTCTCATTGTCTGCTCTAGAGTTTTTCAGTAAAAGCAGGCTTCCCTTGCCCCCAAAGGAAAATCCAGGCAGGCCTATCACTTTTCTGCTCATGTATAAGTAATAATCCTAAATTAATTGTTTTAAGTCTCAAGCGTTCTACATCTGATTATTGTAAGTGTCCTGTTAAATCTTTTGGTCAGCACTTTTATCTTCATTCAAAGCTACACCCCTTACCCCTGCAAGGCCTGCAGTCCAGGAAAGGGACATGGTTGCTGCCTTCTCTGTTCTCCTCCTCCCTCTCCTTCCCATCTAGGTAGCTGCCACCTGGGACCCCAGCAGAGTGATAACAGGGGGAGGGAGGAGAGGCAAGAGGATAGGCAGCTCTTACTTGCTGGGATGGCCTGGAGCTGTCTGGCCTGGCAGGGGTTAGAGCTGGCAGTGTACCTCTTTCTCATGTAGGAGCCTTTGTGGACACATGGACGGCCCCCTGATGACCCATCCCCTCCTTTTGCTGCAGGTTCTTCTTTGACACCTCCACACAGAGGACCCCAGTTCAGATGGCTGTGGGAGGGCTCTCTCCCCTCCAGGACCCACATCTGGCCCATGGAAACACTCACACCCTCTTCATTCTTCTGCCGGCGGGAGAAGAGTTCCTTCACAAGTATGACTCCTATCCTCCTTTCATTCCTCTCGTAGACCTCTTGGGATCTCTCAAACCAAGTCAAGCTCTCCCCAGCTGCAGACAGCCCTCGCCCCTCCCTTGTGGAATCCATAGCAATAAAACTGTGGGGTAATGGAGGTGAATGAGGGCCAGGGGCACCCACCTCCACGGAAGAGCAGAGAATTGACATCAAAGCCCCCAGGTGGGCACCACATTGATCCTAAAACATTGGACTGCTCTTTAATTCTCACAAGCAGCTAAAATTCTACACACTTTAATTATTAAAAATTAAAACAAAGAGCTACTAATCAATAACTTACCGAATGAGTTCTTAAGTTATTGGTTCTTAACGTTGGTATTCATAAAAGATTATATATATTGCAAAAGTTGATTAAGGATCCTTAACTTTCTACTGAGAAGTCAGGCTGCCCCATCCTGCTGATCGAAGGACCAGTGCTCCTCTTAAATATGCCACACATAGATCAGGGGGATTCTTGAAGTCTGGGGTTTGGACACTTTATCAGAGAATCATCACTGCCATCCTGAAATGGCCCTTGTTTTTAATTGTGAATATTCTGTTTTTAAAAATGTTATCATTAGTTATTTAATTTTATCATTAGTAGCATGTTTTGAGGGTGTTGTTTAATTAAACCCACAGTATTGATACATCTATAGCTTTTATGACCTCTGCTCTTTCTATACACAGACCTTAAGACACATGTAATAGGTAGAGCAGGCTTCATGGGCTTGTGCCTTGTGCAGTCACGTGGGACCTCGTAAGGTGCTTGACTTAATGCTCTGCTGTTGCTATTTTGAAATTCTTAATAACTTTTGAACAAGGGGTCCTGCCTTTTTATTTTGCCCCAAACCCCCACAAATTATTTAGCTATTCCCAGCAATATAATATTAAACTGAACTTTCTTGGGTTCAGAGACCCTAAAGACAGAATGAATTGATAGGTGCAAGGTGCCCGTATCCTAAGGCAAGATGTTGAACCACCTGTACAGGGCTGTAGAAAGAGCCTATAAGGCTGGTTCCAGTGACAGCCATCATGAGGTTGTCCAGGCCAAGTGAGGGAGGGGAAAGGATCATTGGCAGGCAGAAAAGCTCACTGTGAGAACTGTTTTAGAGAGAGATGTAGTGTCCCAGGAGACAGGAAGGACTGCTTTCTCCTTACCTCAAGCCAAGTAAGAGAAGGAGTGCCTAGAAAGCCACTTAACAAGTTTGTTTGTCCCAGGTTTCTTCGGATAGCAGGACACAGGTATGCTTCTGTGACCAAATGTGGGGCCTCTACCAAGAAGGCCACCCAGAGGGGATTGTGACCACAAAGAGGGAAAGAGAGTCAGAAGTCATAGACTTGGTGGTGGTGTACATAAAAGGCCAGTAGGAAGCCGTTCTCACAAGGAGGGAACTACAGCCATGTATATACACCAAAAAGATATCTTGGAGGCAAAAACGAGGCAGCTTTGGACTTCTGCCATGCCCAGAAAACACCAAGAGCAGATTACAAGTGTCTCATTCACCTTTCCTCTCTCCCCTTCATTCCCAGTTCTGGAGGGGCCCTGGACAATAGCTCTGACCAAAGAAGGGGTAGAGCAAAGCAAGAGACCCCAGTGTGCCCCCTCCTCCACGATAGACTTCAACAGGCTGGGAGAAAGGAAGACTCTTCCATTGAAGCCTGGAGTTGCAATCTTTCAGTGGACTGGGCTGGATATATAATTTTATAGACTAGACTGACTTTTTTATGTCTACTGTTTATATGGCTATTATATGTTGGATTTCACCTGTGATTTCATCAAGGGGCACAGAAGTCCAGAGAGAAGGCATGAAGAGGCAGTGAGAAGAATAATAAACTTGTTTCTGATGTACTCTATCAAATTTAAGTCACCCAGTAATCTGGCCATAGGCTATAGCTCAGCCGTGAGTTGTCTTCAAGTTTGTTGCCCAAGCAGACATCCTCTCATCTGCCCATCTGTGCTCTTATGGTGGCACTTGATTGTGTCTGTTTCTAGAAAAGTGGCCACTGTGAACATTTTTGCAATCACTGGTCCAGACATGTGCTCACCAAGCAGAGCAGGGTTCTTGTGTTCCCAGGGACCCTTTCTCTGCAGAATAAAGTCACACTGACAAGATCTTACTGTTTAACTCCTCATACAAACCAAGCCCTTTCTGTCAGCTGTTGCCTCTGCCCTCTTACATGCAGTTTTTAAACATCTTCATTGATGCACAGGGAAACCCAGGCTCTGGATGGACTCTAGTGAGAACACCTGGTATATGACAAGAGTTAACTAAACAGTGGGTAAGCTTATTGTTGCTTTTTCAGATGGGGCCTTGGATACAGCTCCATTCTACCTCTTGGGGCAACTTCAACAGGCTGGGAGAAAGGAAAAGCAACGTCTGCTTTCCCAGTGTCTAAGCTCTGCCTATTCTATACTGATTCGGCTCCACTCTCACAGTGGCATTTTCTGACCTGACCCCTAATTATGGCAGAGTTTGGAGCTTGTAACTCCCAAAACTGTACTCATCACTCCCTCTCCTTTTTTCTCTGCCTGCAGCTGCAAATGGATTGAAGGGCCCGAGGCTGGTGTCTGGGAAGCCTGGGGGAGCTGTCACCATCCAGTGCCATTATGCCCCGTTGTCGGTCAACAGGCACCAGAGGAAGTACTGGTGCCGTCTGGGTCCCCCAAAGTGGATTTGCCAAACCATCGTGTCCACCAACTACTATACTCACCATCACTATCATGGCCGTGTGGCTCTGGAAGACTTCCCACAGAGAGGCTTGTTTGTGGTGAGGCTGTCCAAACTGTCCCTGGATGATGTGGGATGCTACCACTGCGGCATTGGAAGCAAAAATGATATGCTGTTCTTCAGCATGAACCTGACGGTCTCTGCAGGTATGAGCTGATGGCTGAGGGGCCTAGCTCAGTGAAGCAAATGTCGGGAAGGAGAAGGTGTGAGAGAAGGCCCAGAGACCCAACAGGGCTTTAACCGTCAGGGTAGTGATGGTGAAAAGCTGGGACAAGGCATAGACTTGAGGGAGGAGGCTTTCACTTCAGAAGGAAATTCTTCTGAAGGAAGGTAGATTTTAGGAAAAAGGTCTCAACTGACTACATGTAAACTCCCCCACCCAATTCCCTCAAATGTTATGGAATATGTATTTGGAGATAGTTTCAAGAAGAGAGTGAATTGGATAATGTGACTTCTTAAGTGTTCTGATGGCTCTGTATTCAGACATGTAGAGAAGGGGCAGCACTGCCGAGGAAGTATGACAGCCAGGACAGAATTGCAACCAGACTCTTCCTAACAAAGATCATTGCTGAGTCTTCCAGCAGACACCTGACAGCTATCAGGGTAGCTCTGTGTGTCCTGGAATTGAGGCTGAGACAGATACCCAGAGCACAAGAAGGGCTCCCAGGCTGTGAAAAGTCCCTCTGCAGAAGTGACAGCTTGAGAGCAGGTTGGCTGTATTAGATGCTGATGCTGCTACCTACCCGTTGGCTGTGATGGGCTGCTCTGCTGAAACTGGAGTTTTCCAGTTTCTTTTTTGAAGTGCATTATCTTCTGGGCTCTGGGCCTCTGGGGAAAGGAGCAGCATGGGGATCTGGGACAGCTGGATAGAGAGTATGTAGGCATGGGAGAAGGAGATAGAAACATAACATATCTATGTTTGCAACAGATTTCCAAATATTTTATTTTATCCAACATATTGGCCAAAGACTGCAACTCTTAGTGAGGTTGTAGCCCACTTGGCATACATTTTAAACCCAGTGTCCTTTGCCAAGTCCAGTGAGTAGCTAGCCTTCTCACATAGTCTACCTCTGCTGTTTTCACAGGTCCTTCCAGCACCCTTTCCACAACCACCCCAGCTGCTGAAGAGCCCACCATGAGGCTCTTTAGGACAGTGCTTCCAGCTGTCAACAGATGGACCCCAGGAACCACCCAAGCCATAGGACAGGGGATGGAATGGGACACAACTGCTCCAACTCCAGAAACCAGCACAACCACAACTTCAACTGAGGGAAGACAAACCCCAGGAACAAGAAAGACAGTATCTCCAGGGACAGGCAGCTGGGTGGAGGGTCCCATCAAGGCAACAGCTCCCATTCCACAGAGTCCGGCTTCAAAAATCAGAAGCATGTCCAATACAACAGAAGGTGTTTGGGTGTGGGACACCAGAAGTGCAGTAACAAATAGGGACGGTATCAGTAGGGATGAGAGAGGGGTGACAACTGTCAAGGCTGATGGGCCAAGGGAGGAAACAGAGAGGGACAGGATAGCTCTGGATGCAGCCACGAAGGTCCTAGGTACCATTAGGCCACCAGTGTTGTTCTCAGAAAAACTGGCCTGGGAAGTCATCCAAGAAGTTACACCGATTTCTAAGCAACAATTCCCAAGCTTCACTGAAGGAACAATCCCAGCCGCAGACATGTGGACCTTGGGAACCATCAGCATAGAGACGGAATATGTGGAAGGAGGCACCACAGGGGACCTAGACCCTGCTATTGGAGACAGTGGTCCCCAAGCAAGACCAAGCCAGTCCCCAGCAGCAGGACCTTCAAGGCCCTCTGGCAAGGGGTCTTCTGTGAAGAGGTAACCCCCAGGTCCCTTCTCTCCGCCCATCCCCTGGCATGAGAGGGTGGCCACTCTCCTCTGCTCACTTCTCTTCCCTTCTACCTGCAAGACAGTGACAAACACATCAGACGCCTTCTCTCACTCAAGGGTCCTTGCTATGAGAATGAGTATTTTCACATGGCCTTCAAGCAAAATCTAAATGAGAAAGAGTATTTTCACATGGCTTGCAAGCAAAATCTAAATGATAGAATGACAGAATATTTAGGCTCGAGCTGTGAGAACATTCTGGTTTTTATGTTTGTTTGTTTGTTAAGATAAAGATAGAAGCTCCAGAGAAGGGAGATGCCTAGCTGAAACCACAAGGAAAGATTGTGGCAGAGCCATATGGGGAGGCTAGAGTCCCTGACTCCCTCTCAGTCCTATTTCTCACTGTGGTGCATAGTGGGACTCACACACAGGCCGGTGGAGTAGGAAAAAAATTTGGACTTGGGAACCTGAAGACAACGGCCCTAGGCTCAGCTCTGCTACTCATCAGCCACGGGAACAGCCTGTAGAATGAGGGCATGGGCCAAATGGTTTTTAATCTTTTAACCAACTCCAACCTCCCCTCTCCTGTACTCTTTCCATCCCCACTCCAGTGCTTTTCCAGAAGAGGAAAACAGCTCTCAGATCCTGACTCCAATCTCTATCATGCTAGCAGTATTTATGCTTGTGGCTCTGGTTCTATTGCAAAGGAAGCTCCGGAGAAGAAGGACTTGTGAGTTGAGTTCAAGTAGCCCCAAAGATAGAGAGAAGAGTGCTTGTTCCTACCCAACACCCTCAGGGCTGGGTGGAGGTAGGTTCCTACCAGGACTATGGGATAAAAAAAAAGCTAAATTCTAGTTTGAGTCATTTAACCACTCTTGGCCCTGGTTTCTTAATCAATAAAATGGAAAATCATCTCTACTTCATGTCTCAATGGCATCCCAGAGCTTAAGGAGAAGCTCTTGGAGGATTACAAGATATATGTTAACCATAGGTGTTGAAGCTGCATAAGCAACCCCAGCAGCAGAGAGCAGAAGTGCAGGGCCCAGACCTGGGATCAGACCTTGCATTTGCACCCTTCTGAATGGCCCTGTTGAAATTCTCTGACAGCAGTGTACCCAGGTTTAAACACTTTTAGAGTGAGTGATCCATGGTGTACAGACCTGGTGAAGAAAGGGTGAGATTTTTCTGGGAGCAAGTGGAGGAGGCTAAGTTTCTCAGACCCAAGATCCTGAAGGTTGGGCTCAATCACTGGGCTACGCTGGCTTAGCCAATAAGGGCTCCATTGCTAGCCTTCTGTGTGCGGAAGTTCTTGAACACTTGCAGTGGGTGGAGGTGGTTCTCAGAAAACTAAATGCAGCAGCCAAAACCCTCACAGCCTCCTCTGTGTCTCTGTAGCTCAGGAGCCAGAAGGGAAACCAGGGGTCACCCTGATTCAGATGACACATTTCCTGGACCCGAACCTTCAACCAGACCAGCTGCCCCACGTGGAAAGGAAGATGCTGCAGGACGATTCTCCTTCTGCCCAACCTAGTCTGACCATCCCAGAGTGGGAGCCAAGATCCTGAGGGATGGAAAGATATACTGCTCAGTCACCGAGAAAGGAGGATCAGGACCAAAGATCTCCATGATCCCAACCTCTTCTTATCATAGTTGATGACCTGAAGCTCTACCTGTCCTTTGGCCTAAGAAAACTAAGCATTGTCCACTAGCCAAAGGTGGCAGTATGACTTGAAGAAGGCTTCAAGAAAGTTTTATTAAGCACTGGAAAAGGTCACCTAGGAAAAGCTTGAAATTTCTATTCTTGGATGTTTGAAAATAGAAGAAGCTTCCAATCAGTGTGTAAAGTGACAGGTTCTCCACCAACACTCCCAGTCTTTGCTGGGCATTCCCTTTTCTGACATCTGTTAGTACTCAGTCTACTGTTTACCTTTAATAATATTCACTAATACCAGTCTTGCTTTCTTAAGTAAATTCTAAGTTCCTCTAGGACAGTAGTTGTAATTTATCCATCTCACTATATTCCCAGAGAACTTCCAACTCAGTAGGACCCCCAATTAATATCTTTGCTGACTGGAAGGGTGTGGGTTCAGTGGCTTCTGGTGATGCTGCCCACACAAGAGCATTGAATCTCCCTGGGCTTCTGTTCCTTCATTTGGAAGTCCCCTATAGAGGACCACATACCATGTGGTATGTGGAAACCAGAAGGAAGGGCACGCATTCCTCACATCTCCACTCCCCATTCGACCCCATGCTTATTATACCATAGGCCTTGTGACCCAGTCAAGATTTTCTGGGATTTTCCTAAATTCGTAGAGGAGAAGGGTATTTTCAGCAGATACTCACCTTTTTCACAAAGCTCCTCTTGTTCAACTGCTTATAAATCCGTGCTATATCAAGGACTGTTGAAGCTGGAAAGTGGTTTGGGGGCGTGGGGTAGAGTAGGGATAAAACAGAGGAATTGTATGTGAATTCTGCCTTATAATCATATCACCTCATGCCTGTTAGGAAACTTCTGCTCCAACCTCGGCCCCACTGTCTTTTCAGGAATCACATTTGCTATTTTCTTTTGCCAGATTTGTTGGGAAACTGTCCAGGCTCTGTGTTTGGGCAGAGTAGTCTTTGAGCAATGGAAGCAGAAGGGAAAGGAAATCTTCAATATCAAGTTGAGAATTGTCAGATAAACATTTCTAGAAGGTTCATCCCTGTTTTTAAGCTGTCAGCAGCATCAGAAATCCTGCTGTAATACCTCCTCAGATCTGGTCCTGAACCCAGACACTGTACCAAAGAGAGGGAGGGAAGGAGGGAGGGAGAGAGAGAGAGAGAGAGTCTTTATGCCTTGTGAGAGAGACCTATTGTTTTGGATAAATCGGGAAGTTACACGCATATAACCAAATGGAATCAAAGAATTTCAGAGCTAGTAGTTCTTTAGAGATTAATTAGTCTAAAAAACTCTTAGTCTATAAATGAGGGAACTGAGTCAGTCCAGAACTCAGTATAAAAGTAAAGGGTAGTCTATGGCCATACCATCCTGAATATACCCAATCTCATCTAAAAGTAAGGGGTATCAGGGGCAGGTGGCAGGGAGAGTCACTCTAAAGTCACCTAGCTAACCCCAGTTAGTAAGTAGCAGAGTGAAGACTAAAAGAACTCATGCCGGGCTTTGTGGCTCAGCCTGTAATCCCACGCCTTTGGGAGGCTGAGGTGAGTGGATTGCCTGAGCCCGCGGGTTTGAGATCCACCTGGGCAACAAGACCTCATCTCTACAGTAAATCAAAAAATCAGCTGGGCGTGGTAGCACATGGCTGTAATTCCGGCTAATTGGAAGGCTGAGGCAAAAGAATCACCGAAGCCCAGCAGGTCGAGGCTGCGGTGGCCGGGAGCGGCCACTGCACTCCAGTCTGGGCGACAGAGTGAGACTCCAACTCAAATAAATAAATAAATAAATAAAAGAGAACTCATGACCTTGGTCTGGTGCCTTTTCTAGTTCACCATTGCTAAGCAATGTATCAAAGCAAAACTATTTTTTGAAAATCAATGATACCACAGTCGTCCCTCCAGATAATTTTCAAACCCACTTTCTGAGTGACCTGCTCAAAAAACCTATAAGGGGAATGGGACAGACACCATTATCCCATTCAACTAATGAAGAAGCAGGCCCTGTGAGGTATGTAATTCAACCAAGACTGCTTGGTTCATTAGAAACCAGGCTGTTCCTAACACTATGTTCTCAGGTTGTGAAGAAGCATTCTGAGGAAAGGGAAGCTTGGTAGATTAAAGAAATGTGGGAAATGCTAAGTTAAACAACAATTAGACTCTTCTATGCATGATTTTTTTGTCTTTAATATACGAAGGTGCATTGTGATAAACCCTGGGCTGGGAACATGTGTGTTTCCCAGGTGTGTTGGACTATTGTGCTTTGCTGAGGCGATCTTACAGGACTGGCGTTCCTCAGATCACTCTGTCTTTGGGGAAGCCTGGTGCACTAAACCCAGAGCCAGCCAACTTGTTCCTGTGAAGGGCCAGGTGGTAAATAGTTTAGGCTTTGCGGGCTATACAGTCTCTGTGGCAACTACCCAGTTTTGCTGCAGAAGCACAGAAGCAGTTAATCCGGGGCAACCCAGGAACAAACGGCTGTAGCTATGCTCTAATAACACTTTATTTACAAAAACAGGAGGCAGGCTGGATTTGGCCATTGGGTCATAATTTGCTAATCTCTGCACTAAGCGATAAACCCAAATGAGGATCTCTCGCTCCCACTCTGACCTGGAGATCAGATCCCAACTTCTTCCTCAAGAGCTTCCCTGACCACTCCTCTCAGGGACCTCTCCCTCCTCTGAATAGCTTCAATGCTTTCTGTCTGGAACGTATCCGTTAGAACCTGTCTGACTACCCCATGTTGGAGGGAAAAGGGGAGAGAGGAAGCAGTCAGCCCAGCAAGGGTTGGCCAAGTGGCTAGAGCCAGGAACATTTCCAGAAATAAAGGTGTTATACGGAATGATGAGATCCACCAGTGGGAGGAGCCAAACAAGTTCAAGGTGCCAGGGCAGAGTCTTGGGGGGGGGGGGCAATGGTTTGGAGGGGGCAGAGATAAGATCTGAGTAAGAGCTTTGTAGGGGAGAAAGTGGGGCAGTCCCAAGTATTTACAGCTCTCCTTTATGGGTTACTGATGTGTGAATAGGCGAGAGGGTTGACTTAAAGGGCAAAAGGCAAAACAGGTGGAGGAAGGCGACTCCAGTGCTTTTGTTCTTCATCTTATATCCCAGCCAGCCTGATGCCCACACCACTGAGATGAGGGGCATGGAAACAGCCATCACTAAGCTGGAATCAGGGAGGCCTCCATGGGAATTTCTAATCCAAGATGTAGGAAAGACATTGCTTCTCATACGATCAGGCAGATGCTTGTGCTAGGACACAAATCTCCAGTTCTCCATTTGACGCAACGTTTTTGTAAGATAGTATGCTAACTCCCATTTTACAGATGAGGAAACTGAGGTCTAGAGAAAGTAAATCATCATACTACTAGGGAAAGGGCAAGCTGGGACTTGAATGCAAAGCTACCTCCACAGCTATATTCTAGACCACTTTGCTGCCCTGCCTTCCTCCTTGCTTAGATTTAAGGTCTGGGTGTCTATCTGTTCAGGTCCTTTCCTGTTTAAAGCTCTAAAGGCTTGCTTGTTTCTCTCTCTTAGGCACATGCTTGGAACGTTTTATAATCATTTCCAGGAGTTTGTTCTCTTTAGTCTTTTAACGAGCTTATTCCTGTTCTGGCCTAATGAAGTGTTACATAAAAAAGTTCAGGGAGCCGGAACTGAGAACTAAACATTCAGGCACCAACCCTGAGGCCCTTACTGGCATTTGTACACGTAGGGCCCAGCTCTTTATTTGTGGAGATGTCCATCTTTTTCATGTTCCTCAGAGTAAATGCTTGACCTAAAGCCAATTTCTCACTACTCTCTGCTAACACTCCAGAGGTTTCTCCCTCTCCTCCAACAGCCAGTGTGATCTGAGAAACATAGAATCAGTTTAACCACAACCTCAGCCAGACCCGAAGAAGAAGGTACCTCTTTCACAGAAAGACCCATAATGCATGTCCGCCTCGTAAACATGAGTTATTTGACTGTCCTCTACCTCTATGGCCATATCACCTTGAATGCACCCGATCTCATCTAATTATCCTCCACTGGTGCAGATATCCCAGAGCTGAGGGCTTGACTAACGTGCAATGGAGAAAGGAACTTCTACACAGAAGAAAATGGACTTTCTGTGGTGGTAGAATCCAGCACCACCTAGCTCTCCATTTTTCATTAAATGACATAGTTTGTCTCACAGGTGTTGGCCCTCCTGGGGCTGGCCTACTCCCTTCTCTATCAGCAAGAGGATAAGCTGTCACCCCACTGCCCACTCTTGAAGGGGCCAGCTAAAACCCCAGCGGGCAGCAAAGAGGTGGCAACTACAGGAAAGGACCCCATGCCATACCTCTGGAAGCATAAGGAAACATTTGGAAATTACGAGCCCTGAGGCCCTGTTTGCCTCCTCGCCCCAGGACACACATTAAAGACACATTCGCTGAGTAGGGTCCAGACTCTTCTATGTTCTGCCTCCTCCAACCTCTGGCCTTATTCCCACTCCTCACCAATTTGCTGCTTCTCTCCAGATCTATCAGTTCTGCTCTGGGCACAGAAGGTCAAACAAAGACTACTTCTTTCCCTGGGTTGCAAATTTCTGGCTTCCCAAGCCTAAATGTTTTAGAGAGGAAGAGAGCCAGGACTGCCATGTCCAAAGGTATTTTCCAAGATGCCCCACAATTTGTCCAAAGATGTTGCACTTCACTTTAGACAAGAGTTTAGGAAAAGGGAATCAGGGAATCTGCCTCTTTTGGGCCTGGCATAGGAAGGGCAGACTGATTAGGAAATGCAACTTGGTCTAAATGTTTTATTTTTCTAGCACATTCCTCTACCTCCACCAGTGTAGTACAATTAAAAATTAATTACAGTAGATATCACCAGAAAGAAACAGACTCCCATCCTACACATGGAAACACTGAGGTTCAGATGGGCACAGGCTA